AGCGTACGACTCACGCAGCTGCTGTGGGGAGAGAGGGAGTCGACGACGAGAGCGCAGCGGCGAGGCACCAGCGGAGCGACTACGCAGACGGCCGCTCCAGGGAGACTGCTCACCAGACGCCTCAGCGCCTCCAGGTGCAGCACCCCCAGACCCAGTACTCCCAGGCACAGCACCCCCAGACTCCTCACACCCAGGCTCAGCACCTCCAGTCTCCGCACCCCCAGGCTCTGCACCTCCAGGCTCCGCACCCCCAGGCTCAGCACCCCCAGGCTCCGCACCCCCAGAAGCAGCACCCTGAGCAGGACCACCCTCAGCAGGACCTGCGTCACCAGTGACCTCAACCGGCTCAGTCAAGGGGGGAGGGTCTACCTGAGACACACCTGAAGGAGCAGGACCGGGAGCGGGGAGGGGGTCTACCTGGGGAGCACTTGGAGCGAGGAAGAGCGGCGAGGGGGGAGAGGGGCAGTGCGGTAGGGGAAGAGACGGTAAAAGGGAACCGACTCGTCAAACGTGACGTCCTGAGAGGGGAAGACACGGCGCGAGGTGGGGTGGTAAAACTGCCAACCAGGCGCGTCAGGGACAAAGCCAAGGAAGACACATGGAACAGCGCGGGCGGAGAGCTTGTCCGCGGTGGTATCGCGGACAAAGGCACGAGCACCCCAGACCCGGAAACGCGACGCATCGCCAACCTTCCCCGTCCACAGCAGTGTGGGCGAGGTCTCCGGCAAGGAGACACGGGGCCAGAGGTTGAGCTGATGCGCGGCGTACCGGACCGCAAACGGCCACAGAAAATGGGGGGCAGCCGCATGGATCATGGAGGTACGAGCGACCTCCATGACTAAGCCAATGCGGCGCTCAGCAACCCCATTCTGCTGCGGAGAGGCCGGAAGCGTGGACGTCTGGCGGATGCCGTGCTCCGCACAGAAGGCTGCCAAGAGGTCTGAGGAGAACTCACCACCTCTGTCAGAGTGCAGACGCAGGACAGGAAAGTCCGACTGGAACCGCTCGCGGAGCTGGAGACGAGCAGCGCGGATCCAGGGGATCAAAACATCAGGGACATCCCCCTTGCGCTGCAAGGGGAAGACCGTGGTGTAGCGCGTGTAGTCGTCGACGACCAGCAGGAAGTACCGCTCGTGGCCCTGTCCACGGACGCGGGCTGGGCCCCACACGTCCATGTGGAGAGTCTGCAGGGGAGCCTCTGTGGGAGGGAACGAGGAGGAGTGAGGAGCGGCGCGCTGCCGCCCCTCGACACAGGGAAGACAGGGAGGAGCAGGCGAGGGTGGGAGGGGAGGTAGAACCCTGGGAAGACCAGAGACAAGGACACGGCGGTGCATGCTACGAAGGCACTGCACCGAGGGGTGACCAAGGCGGTGGTGCCAAAGGAGGGTCTGGTGCGACAAAGCGCGACACGAGCAGGGGGCCGCTAGGTGACCTGACGCAGACGCAGACGCAGCGACCTGAGGGGACACAGTAGTCAGTGTGTACAGACTCGAGCCAGGCGCACGGGTAAACGTGGCCAGGTGCCGGCCCGTCCGGGAACACGTACAGTAGGTCACGCGCTGACCTCCAGGAGTGAACTGGTCAACCCACTGGTCCTGGAGGTCAGCACCACTCACCAAGTTCGTAGAGAACGAGGGGAGGTGAAGACCTGACAGGGAGCCAGACGGGACTGCCGGACACGGCAGGACCGTGGAGGAGTGCGCAAGTACTGGACCCCCAGAGGGGTCTGCCAGGGAGACTGGAACCGGCCGGCTGAGCGGCGTGAGGGTGGTGCTGTCACGAAAGAAGGAGCGGGAAGCACCTGAGTCAAGTGTGAAGGTGTACAAGGCCTCAGCAGGCGCAGTACCAGAGAGAGCAGACTCACCAGCACCTGGAGCAGCAGCCTCACCAGCACCTAGAGTAGGAGACGCACTAGCACCTAGAGGATCAGCCTCACCAGCACCTGGAGCAGCAGCCTCACCAGCACCTAGAGTAGGAGACGCACTAGCACCTAGAGCAGCAGCCTCACCAGCACCTGGAGCAGCAGGCTCTATACCTGGGTCAGGCGGCACGCACAGGTAACAGGCACGGTCAGCACTAGTAGGCAATGCATACATGGCAGTGAGAATAGCATCAAAGTCAAGAGCAAATATATCTACCTTCTGCCCAAGCAGCTCCACCTAGTCGGGGAGCTCAGCCGCGTCGCCAAACTCGGTACGCCAGGCGTCGCTCAGACGGGCGAAGCAGCGGGACTGTGTGTGACCAAGCGTCCCGCAAGCCTGACCAGTCCTATCACCTGTGCGAATGACGTACGGGCAACGAATGGTACTCCCAGACCCTCTACTCTGAGCGTACCACTCGTGAAGCTGCTGGGACGTAAGTGTCTCGCGTGGATGCCGCTGCAGCTGCAGCTGGCCACTGCCAGACGCTCCCAACTGACCAGCTCCAGGGCGACAGCTACGACGGTTACCGCGACAACCCCAACTAGCGTACCACTCACGAAGCTGCTGGGGCGTGAGAGACTCGCGTGAACGTCGCTGGAGCTGCATCTGGCCACCGCCAGTAGCAGCAGTAGCAGTAGTAGTAGCAGCAACAGTAGCAGCAGCCTAGCAGTAGTAACAGAAGGAGCAGCAATAGCAGCAGTAGCAGCGCGGGCAGGGCAGGCGCGGCAGGCAGGCAGGCAGGCAGGCAGGCAGGCTGGCAGGCAGGTGGCGCTACAGTGCGCGAACAAGGCAGGTGCTCACCAGTGGCGATCAGGGCCGGCGCTCGGCGGGCGGCGGCCGGGTAGGCGCACGACGGCGGCGACGGCGAGGCCGCGACAGCTGCGGCAGAGCAGGGCCGCGTCGGCGGTAGGGCAGGTCCGCGACAGCTGCTGCAGGGCGGGGCCGTGACAGCTGCAGGAGGCTCCGCGGCGGCTGCTGCAGGGCAGAGCCGTGACGGCTGCAGGAGGCTCCGCGGCAGCTGCTGCAGGGCGGGGCCGCTACTGTGGCAAGGCGCTCCACGGCAGCTGCTGCAGGAGCGACAGCGGCAGTCAGACAGGGGCGGCGTCCAGAGGAGGGGCGTCGCGACAGGCCGGGGCGACGTCCAGGGGGGGGGGGCGCCGCGACGAACAGGGGCAGCCGCGGCGCGCGGGCCTGCAGCACGCAACGCGAGCTGCGGGCGCGGCGCGCGAAGCCGCCGCGGGCTGCGCAAGGACGGCAGCCGCGGCGCGCGGGGCTGCAGCGCGACGTGCGGGCAGCTGACGCGACGCGCGGGGCTGCAGTGCGACTCACGAGGCTGCAGCGCGACGCGCGGGGCTGCAGTGCGACGCATGGGGCTGCAGCACGCAGCGCGGGCTGCGGCCGCGGCGCGCGGAGCAGCAGCGAGCCGCGCGCGGGCTGCTGCAGGGCGGGGCCAGGTGGGGCCGCGTCAGTAGCAGGTCGTGGCCGCGAGGAGGGGCGGCGCTCTGGCCTGACAGGCCTGCAGGGGCGGCTCGCGGGCCTGACGGGTCTGCAGGAGCGGCTAGCGGGCCTGACGGGCCTGCAGGGGCGACGTGCGGGCCGTACGAGTCTGCAGGGGCGGCGCGCGGGCCTTACGGGCCTGCAGGGGCGGCGCTCTGGCCTAGGGCAGCAGTAGGCAGCGCTAGGGCTACAGGACGGCGCGCGCAGCGCAGCACGTCACAAGGCAAGGCATGCAGGCAGGCAACACGTGGGGTAGCGTGGTAACCGCAACGGTAGGTGGGCCCGGAAAAAAAAGTCGGTCCTACGGACCTAGTGCTCTGAAACCATGTCAGAATCTAGCAGCAGGAATGGATGAACTATGAAAGAGTTGGGTACAAATATGAAACCCTAAAAGGGGCTGTACCCCATATTGGCTACCCCACTACAGCCTAAACATATATAGTAGATATATCATTTGACATCCTGTACCCACCGTCACACACCACCCCCACCACCATTACTGCTGCTGCTGCTGGTGCCTCCACGATTCATGCTGCTACCACCGTGCTGTTGCCGTGAAAGGGGAACGAGCCGCAGGGCATCATAAGGAGCACGGCACCAGCGCTCCACACATCGCAATCTGCCCCGTACGACTCAGAAAACACCTCTGGACTCCTGCGGAGACATGTAGGCTGCTGTGCCTGTCATCCCTGATAGACCCACACCGAGTGTGCCTAGCAGCCAAACCAAACCCGATCAGCTTGACTTCACAGCTACTGACATTGACATTGGCTATCCCGGTATCGGCCGTTGAGTTTCGCTGGGAATGCCACGTCAGCAGCGCTCTGCACAGTTAGAAAGACAAGAGGCACGAGGCAGGGCGGAAAGGGAAGGAAATCACAGACGCTGAAGGTGAGGACAAGAGGCAAATGGATTTGGTTCAAGAGAAGGGAAAACAGCTAGTTGAGGAGATTGGGGTGAGGCGGGGAAATCAGGGTGGGGGAGATCAGGGTGGGGGAGATCAGGGTGGGGAGAACACGTTTGGGAGATCAGGGTTGGGAGATCAGGGTGGGGAGATCAGGGTGGGGAGATCAGGGTGGGGAGATCAGGATGGGGAGATTAGGGTGGGGAGATCAGGATGGGGAGATCAGGGTGGGGAGATCAGGCTGGGGAGATCAGGGTGGGGAGATCAGGGTGGGGAGATCAGGATGGGGAGATCCCATGGCAGCGCGACCACACCTTAATGGCTGCCTTTCGGAGCTGACTCCGAGGTTCAAAATCTGCGTCTGGCGTAGCAGGTGTTTTTTCAGAATAGTCGCTGACAGCCGTTGCCGCATTCACTGCATTGACTGTGTTGACTGCGCTCGATGCGGCGAAGGCGTTGAGAACATGATGTCCGGGACAGCTTCGAACAAGTCAGGTTGGCTCAGTCAGTTTACTCGGTTGACTTGAGGGAATGTGGGCGAAACGAGCTTATGAGGAGCATCATCGAACCATTGCCGCATCAGCCGCTGCCGCTGCTTCCGCCCCACCACCCTTGGTGCGGCGGCAGTGTTTTCAACCATTGACGCCGCTACTTCGTGGAACCAATCCTCAAGCGCCATGTCGGCAGTCGCGGTACCACCACTAGCAGCTGCTCCCTCAAGACCGCAGGGAAACGCGGCTTCTCCGTCGATTGCACTGAATCGAGCGGCATCGGACGGCCAAGGAACGGAGTTGGCGAAAGGAGACGCCGGGAACGCGTGCGGCGGCGGGGAGGCGGACGTTCTATCGGCGGAAGGAAAGGCGGACGGTGGGAACGGGGAAGAGAACGCGGAAGGGGAGGCGGGGAAGTGGAGAGTGATCGTGGGGCTGCAGCTCGCGCCGTCAAAACCGGCGGCGGCGACATCCGGAGCGAATGATGATGTGACATTTACTGCTGCATGTGAGGACGCGGCGCCGCAGTAAGCGCCGTCACAACCGGCGGCGCGGCTGAGCTGAATCTCGAAGTACCGCCTCGAACTCCGCGGCAGTGGCGCGCCGCCGCAGGGGCCGCCGGTGGGGTTTGCGGCGCGAGCTCGCCGCCGCGGCGTCGCGGCGCTGGTCGACGACGTGCGATGCGGCGTAGACGACATGAAGATTTCACTGGCAATCGCGGACGACTCGGAGATTGCTACTGCTAGTTGAAACGGCGAGAGAAACGGGGAACAGCCAGTGCGATTGTTGAGCCCGTGGTTTTCAGTGGGAAGCCTTGAAACGGATTCCGTGAAAAACTGGAGCTGCGGCGGCGGGTGAAGTCGAATGGCGTTCTGGAATTCGAGTTTGTGGCGAGCGTATTCATTCATACTACTAATACTACTAGCATCAATCGACTTGGATGCGGCGGCGGGTGGATCGATGCGCGTGGAAGCGGGGACTTTCCAGATGCGGTGGATGGATGCCATGTCCATGAATCTGGGCTATCGAGGGGATGGTTACCTCGAGGATGCATTGCATTGGCTGTCATGTAGTGGTCACGCAAGGTTGAGGAGCAGAGCTTAACGCGCCAGCGTTGCAAAGGACTCTCTAGAAAGCCTGGCGGACACTGGTACTGCCGTCCATCTTGCGCAGCAAGCTTATCAGTACTAAACGAACGCGTGTGGCTACTAAGTGCTGACTACGCTGCTTACCAAGAGCGGAACGAGCCAGCGCTGCGAAGGGCAAGAAGTGTACGTACCTACCTAGTGTTGGGAACACCGCTTTCCGCGAAAGTTCTATGGTCTGGGTATGCGCGTGTGAGAAATGCTGACTTCGCTTCGTGGGGGCCAACGCGGATGAGGAAACGAGAAGGAGAGCAGTTCTGCATTTGCGAGGTTCTCGTATCCACGCGCGCGGAACGGGATCTGGTGCGAAAGCCACGGGGTAGCACGTGCCTAGCTGGCGGCGCAGTGTACTGTGCATTATGACGCACTGTACGGTACTGCTGCGTGTCAGACCGTGACTTATCATGCTTTGGACGGTTCTGAATGTGTATGGTGACGTGACGAACTGTCTTCTCTTCAGCACCCCCGCTTACCGAGCCCTGCGCGTACTATATGAGAAGATTCTAACAACGCGCGCTCTTTATTTGTCTGCAATGCTGCTGCGTTGGAAGGAGAGCAAATGGGAGCTGAGCTAGAGCACCTGCTGCACAGCAGGGGCTCGTGTGATGTGGTTGGTGGCATGGAGAAAAAACTGCAGCTTTCTTGAGATTAGGGCGAGAATGCGCAAGGGAGGGCGAGAATGAAGAAGGAGGGCAAGAATGCGCGAGGGAGGACGAGAATGAAGAAGGCAAGGGCGAGAATGAAGACGGTAAGGGCGAAGGGGATGATGGTGGGTTGGGTTGGGTTGTTTACCCAAGAAGATCCGCCGCGCGCTCCAGCAGGGCGCTTGACTGACATCGGTGTGATGGGGCTGCGGTGCGGATTTGCGAAATTGCGGAAGGATTTTTCCAGCACACAGACAGGAAATTTCGATGGCATTTACGGTGGCAAAATTATAGGAGAGTGCGCGGCTCGGGTGCTGATTCTGTGATTGCGCGAACGAAGCGAGCGCGGCAAAATGTGCCAAATCAGGGAGCATCTCGCAATCGATGCTGATGTGCCTGCCACCAGTTGGCCAGAAACTAACCTAGCCTTTCCGAAAAGCTTGGATTGCGCGGGACAGTGCTGTTCTCCACCACGGCCTGTCTAACAAATACTGCCAGCGTGTCGTTGCATTTTTCAGGCATTGGGTTGACCAGAGATTCATGTGTACGGTATGACATGTCTCTGCAGAAAGCATCTTGTCGTCTTGTAGACGTGCAACGCTTCGATATGGCAAGCATATGTGACAGCATAAACGCAAGAGAACGGAGTGTCACATGTTATTTTGAACAATTTTATGAACTAAACCAGTTGGGAAAGTTCATTTTAGTGACAAGGGGAGAAAACCAGCTGATAAAAAAGATTTGACATAACTAGGCCCAACATTATGCTGGAAAACGGACTCCAAAACATTTTCGTCCATTTACTACTTTCTGCCACATCATGTTATCAGCTGCAGCAGCTACTTCCCCTTTCCCACTGCTGCATTTTTTGCTGTCCTTTCTTCCTCCAATTCTTCTTCTTCTTCTTCTGCTGCTGCTGCTCCTGCTGCTGCTGCTGCTGCTCCTGCTGCTGCTGCTGCTGCTCCTGCTGCTGCTGCTGCTGCTCCTGCTGCTGCTGCTGCTGCTGTTCTGTCTGTCACGAAGGAAGGGAGTGTGGCCGAAGAGCATAAGGAAGAGAGCAAAGCAACACCAGCGCTCCGCACATCACACTCAGCACTATACGCCCCTGAAAACACAACAGCAGCCATGAATTCTGCTGTACCCACAGGCGGCCTTTCGGATGCTCTTGCTCGTAGTGATCTCCCCGGTGCTGCTGAGCACGCATCTCCATATCACGGCGTGCTACCCCCTGCCTATCTCCCTCCTCACCACCACCTCCTGCCGCCCAATGCCATCCACTCGCCGCCCCTCAACTCCTCCCCCACTTGCACATTCGGATCCTCCGCGGCTGGGATTGCAAGTTGACAGGTGATTGATTTGGGGGGCTCATCCGAGGCTGCAGGCTCGAGTTCTGAGTGGGGAGCTGAATCCGAGGCTCGGAATTTGAAGCTGGCGTCAGCGGGTGCTGATTCAGATTAGTCGTTGTTGCCGCATTGACTCCGTTTGACTGCATTCACCGCGTTGACTGCCTTCACCGCGTTGACTGCATTCACTCCATCGACGTGTTGACTTTGCTGGAATCGAATGCGTTGACTTGGTTGACTTTGCTGGTTCGGTTGATTTCAGGGAATGAGCCCATCAGGAGCATCGTCGAACCACTGCCGCATCAGCCGCCGTCTCTGTTTCCGTCCCAGCACAATTGGTGCCACCGTTTCAACCATTGGAGCCGCCGCTTCATCCATTGACGCCGCTGCTTCTTTCAACCAATCCTCAAGCGCCACGTCGGCTGCCGCGATATCAGGATCCGCCACGGGGAACGGCTCTCCGTCAATTGCGCTGCATCGCGCGGAATCGGACGGCCAAGGAATGGAGTCGGCGAAAGGAGACATGATCGGGAACTCGTGCGGCCACGCGGAGGCGGAAGGGAAGGCGAAAGGGGAGGCGGAAGTCTCTTCCGCGGAAGGAAAGGTGGAAGAGAACGCGGAAGGGGACGCGGGGAAGTCGAGAGTGGTCGTGGGGCTGCGGCAGCTCGGAATGGCGACATCCGTAGCGGCGGATGTGACGCCGCAATGATACGCGCCGACATGGTCGGCGGCGGCAGCGGCGCTGATCTGAATTTCGAAGGTTCTGCTGGAATTCAGCGGCAGTGGCGCGCCGCTGTGAAGCCAATGACGACTATAGTCGCCGGGACTGGAGTTCGCGCGAGCTCGCCGCGTCGCGGCGCTGGTCGACGACGTGCGATCCGACGACATGATTCCAACGTTGGACAAGCTCGTTAGTCGAAATTGCGCGAGATCGCTACTGGTAGTCGAAACGGGCGAGAAATGGAGAGAAACGGGAAGTGCTGATTGGCGAGCTTCAGGGAGCCTGGAACCAGTAAGAAAGCCTTGAAAGGGGATACTGTACGGGAAATGGCTTGAGCTGCGACTGCTACGGGGTGAGTTTGTAACGACTCTGTTTTGTAGGGCGATCTGTTTGTGGACTTTTCATTACGGGGAGTAAACGGACGAGTTTTGACGTTCTACAGTACTCGCCGACGCGGATCGATGGAGCTGCGTGCAAAGGAGAGGAAACATTTCCCGCGACGCTAAGGAAACCTGGGGTTCATGGGCACAGCCGTGCAGTGAGTGCCCTCAGCGGTAAGTAACCAATGCGGTCTCGAGAAAATCCATGCCATGCGCTCCGATCACCAATACTGATTCAGTTTCATGATGACTCAGCGGCGGTACAGTTACTTCCGTTAGTGAGGAGAGGAGGGCCCGATGAGATGCGTGAAGAGCGACGCCATGGACGGACGTGAGAATGATCGCGCAAAAGGCGGGGGTGGGGGAAAATGTTTGGAAGGGGGAAAGGGGAAGGCTTGACGCGCGGCTCGCGGGAGTTGGACTTTCCCTCGCACTGCACTGCCAGCCATCGGCGGAGCACCGATCAGCGGAGCACCGATCGGCGGAGCACCGATCGGCGGAGAATCGATCGGCGGAGCACCGATCGGCGGAGAATCGATCGGCGGAGAAGATCAGCGGCGACTGTGACCCTTTCGTTTGGCAGCCGCCGCTCTCCGAGAGAATCTCTCCTGAGGCCTGAGGCCAGGTCACGACACGACTCGTCACCCCGCCATTGACGAGTCATCGTGACAGCGTCTCGCGTCATCGCATCAGATCAGATTTTCACGTCGATTCGGACAGACTCGGCCAGTCTTGGGCTACTGTAGCATGTTGCGTTGGCTGTCTTGTAGGGGTCACGAGAGGACGAGTAGTTCTAGTAGAATAGCCAGCGCTGCGAAGGACTGGTCACAGGAAAGCTTATTCGAGCGTACCGGTGGCAGTAAAATAGTGTAACGCTCGTGGCTTCTAAGTGCTGACTATGCTGCTTAGTACTAAGCGCGGACCTTAGGGCCAGTGCTGTGAAGGGCTAGTAGTGTACGTGCGTAGTACCGCAAAGCGTGGTGCAATGCTAGTACTAAGTATGCGGGTGTGAGAAATGCTGACTACGCGGGCCAACGCCGATGAGGAAAAGAGGAGGAGAACTCTCTTCTGACTTTTCTCCTAACCACGCCGCACTAGGAACTGTAACACGTGCCAGCTGTTCCACTGTAGCGTTCAACGGTTACGCGCTGTCAGCCGTGACTTATTATTTGGACGGTTCTGAACGTGTATTTTGACTAACTATTTTCTCTTGGGCACTCGTGCTGTCGGGTGCAAGTGCGCCTTTAGTGTATTCGACATCTAACGACGGACGCAACTCGTTTGCATGCTGTTTGCTCGATGGAAGTGGAGAGAAAGAGGAAGGAGCTAGCGAGCTGTAGCGCCTGCTGGACAGCGGGGTCTAATTGCTTGTGATGTGGTTGGAGAAAATTAGCGGTTTTCTTTGGGTTAGGATAGGGCAGGAATGAGTAGGCTAAGGGCGATGGAGATTATCGTGGCATGGATTTGTCTAAGAAGATCCGCCGCGGTCTCCAGCTGGGCGGGTAAAATCGGCGGGAGAATGAACGGACTGGCGCAATCACATGATGCTCAAGGCTGTGTTGTGACTGGTCCTTTCTCATGTTGGATTGAAACCCCGTCCATATTCGAACACCTGCCAACGGTACATCGTTTACAGTCATGAGGGAGGCGTGTAACTTTTTCCTTATCTGACCATCCGGACGGCCCATCGTCCGGACTTTTGTAAGGTTACTAACTTCGTGAATTTTCGCTTCGTCTCTGATTCGTGGAAGGATGATGCCGAATTCAGCCTAAAAAAGTCCGGACGTTTAGCCGTCCGAACGGTCAAAAATAGAAAAAGTTACACGCCCTACCCATGCACACCAGGAGACGTCACTCACATTCTGATGTTGGGACTGCAAAGTTCATTTACACATTTTTCTGGTGGCAAACTGTGCGAAGACACAAGGAGCGGTCTGCCCATATAGTTATTGACACTCCAAAGGCGAGTGTCACTAACGCACGATGGCAGATTGAGGCCGGAATTCGCGGCTCGGGTGCTGATTTTCTGATCGCACCGAATTAATCGACCGCGGAAAACGGGGAGCATCTTGCATTCGATGCTGACGTGCCTGCCTGCCCCGAGCAGCAATCGAAAACCGAGCCTTTCCAAAAAACCGTGGACTGTGGGGGTCCATACTGCAGCTTCGATATGCCAAGCATATTCGAACATAAACCCAAGAGTAGGAAGAGTAATATAATAAAGCAAAAGCATGTGGTAATTGACACATGTAGTTGGAAATTCCAACTTGGAATATATTTTATGCGATGATACTTGCAAGGAAAGCCAACAAAACACTGTGCACAGGTGCAGCATGGAGGCTGCATTTTGCAGTATTCACACGCCCTGCCTGCACTCTCGTCATGCTGTTTATGTCTCTATACCCCTTTTAACATGGTTTGTGGGCTGACCAACCGTGAGGGGCATGAAAACCTCTTTAAGAAGCATACTGCGCAAACCTCTCGATGGGTAAGAGTTTATCGTGTGCCAACGGGACTTTATTTAACCATGACCTTCCTGTCTTCTCTGATGCCAAATTCCATTCATGCTCTGCAAAACAACCACATAGCATCACACCCATCAGTCGTGCCACAAAATCATACAAAATAACAGATTTCAACCACGTGAAAACCACCTCTCCTCTCTTCCTGACTCAGGGGGGCTAATCAGCTTACCGAGAATCATCTTACCAAGAATCAGCTTACAGAGAATCAGCTTACCAAGAATCAGCTTACCGAGAATCAGCTTACCGAGAATCAGCTTACCGAGAATAAGCTTACCAAGAACCAGCTTACAAAGAATTAACTCACCAAGAATCTCGTTCAAAGTGATTCGGGTGCAGAGAGCATGCGAATGATGAGATGCTTGGCTGGTGACGACAGCTCCTGCCACCCCCGGCTGTGGATGAACCCCCTCCTCTTCACCTCCACTACCCTCCGCCACACACCCTCTTCATCACCTGCTGCTGCTCCCTCCTCCCAACTGCTGATGCCCCTGCTGCCTTTTCTGCCCTTTCTGCTGCTCCTGCTGCTGCTGCTGCTGGAGTGGATGGGTCTATCACGTGGGAATGGAGTCTGCCCGCAGAACATCATGAAGAGCGTAACACCGGCGCTCCACACATCGCATTTAAGGCGATGCCCCTGAGAACACCTCTGGAGCCATGTATTCTGCCGCCCCCACTATCCCCAATAGAGGAACACGCCTCCTTGGGAGGTCCTCGTTATATGCACGTCCTTGGGTCAAATGCTTCCAGCCCGTGAGTTCCTCTGTAAATGCCACGTCACTTCGCACTGTCTCCACGTCAGCAGCACTCTGCACAACTGGGGTAGAGACACGAGGCAGGAGGCAGGGCGGAAAGGGAAGAGGAGCACAGATGATGAAGATGGGGACAAGAGCAGAAAGGATTTGGGTTAAGGGCAGAGGAGACCGGAGGGAAAATAGGACAGGGAGATCAGGGAAGGGAGATGAGAACATGGAGATTAAGGAAACGAGATTTGAGGCAGGGCAGGGAGACTATATGGCAGGGGGATCACCATGGCAGAGAGCAACCTGATTTTGAGGGCAGGGCAAGGAGGTGAGGGCAGGGTAGTTCAGCGCCGTACCTGATTGGCGGACTTTCGGATGCTCTTGCAGGCAAGGTGTTTCCCCGGTGCTGCGGTTCACGCATCTCCATATCACACCGTACTGCCCCCTGCCTATCTCCCTCCTCGACACCACCCATGCCGGCCAATGTCCTCCACTCACCGCCTCAACACCTCCCCTTGCACCTCCCCCACTTGCTCCCCACGTGCGCCTCCCTCTCTTCTGCTGCTGGGGTTGCGAGTCCATAGAGGTTGCCTTCCGGGGCGCACCCAAGGCTGCAGGCTCGGATTTCAAGTCCGGAGCTGACACCAAGGCGCAGAATCTGAAGGCTGGAGAGAGGGGATGTGGCGGGCGGATGAATGGATGGTCAGTGGCCCATGGACGGGCGAGAGAGGGGATCTTACTCCCCTTCAAGTTGACGCGGAAGGAGTGGCAGTGGGTCAACCAGAGCGAGCTACAGGGTTGACCGATTGTGTCCGTGACCGCTGATGAGTCAGCTCAGCGCTGGTACCCAGTGCCAGTGATGGGGGTTGATGGGGGGGCTGATGAGTGAGTGGCGGGGAGGGACGTGAGGGTGGGGGGAGGGTCGTGGGCGACTTTTGAGTCGACTCAAAAGTCACCTCAGTGCCAGTGATGGGGGTTGATGGGGGGCCTGATCTGATGAGTGAGTGGCGGGGAGGGACGTGAGGGTAGGGGGTGTTGGAGTGGTTCGTAACAACCACCCACGACTTTCAACTGGCTGAGGCATTTGGAGTTAAGGTAATTTGTGTTTCATGAGATGGGAGTTTCTGTGCTTTAGGTTTGAGCGTTTACGGTTCGTGATTCGCCTTATCGGTTCATGAGTTATGAGAGTTTTCGTGAAGGTTTGAGTATGTGAGAGTTCATGTGTGTTCGGATGTGTTCGTGTTATTTCATGTGTTCTGCGAGTCACGAGTGTTCGTGAAAGTGTCATGAATGTTCATGAGTGTTTCGTGAAGTGTTCATGTATTTCCGTGTGAGTTCATGAG